CCTTGATCTTGAGTAGAATTTCAGGTTTCAGTCTTCTCAGCTTTTGTTGCACATGTTTACATTTTGATCTTATGGGTAACTTATGTACTACCAATTTTGTATCTAACCCTGGCATATCCTCGTATGACCAAGAAAATACATCCTTGTATTCTTGCAGTAATTCAATCAAATCCTGTCATCCTTTATCAGATAAATTGGTAACAATTTTCACCTCATTTTCCATATTGGATCCTAAATTTAAGATCTCAATAGGTTCCTTATGACGTAGAATTTACTCATCCTCTTTTTCTACCATTTTTAATAGTTCAGAGGGTAAATCATATCCTTCACCATAACCTTCAATTTCCTCAGGATACATAGGCTGCTCAAAATCAATTTATGGGACAGTATCATTAGCATCTATGTCATGGATATTTGAGTTCCTGAAAATAAACAAGAGTATATACATATAATCATGAAAATTTATTTAAAATGATTGTCATTTAGAACTAATGCATCTTTTATTGAAAAAGAAAATCATATAGTTTAACCCTTTACACAAAATCAAACTATTGCCCCAAGGTATAGGCAATAATGAAAGTTTTGGTGTATTACTCTAAAAAAGACGTGAAAACTACATGTAATTCTTCTGCAGTCCAATTATTTAACTCAAAGTCTGATGATGCGGGGTAAATGCCCACATCTTATTTTTCTACAAATTCATCATCTGATATGACAATGATACTTATTTCTTTCTAAGCATCTTCATCAACTAGCTTTTTGCTTTGCTGATCTTCTTGGAAAATGCATCATCCCGACACAAAAGTATCATTTAATGGTGGAAAGGTCATTGGTTCCCATGTGAGATCTTCTTCAGCTAACTTCGTCTTTCTTAATTCTTGATTCCTTCTAATGCCCCTATGTCTCTCTTTTAATGTTGATTGATATCCTAAACCAAATCGATCTTTCTTGGTAATAGGAAATACTAGATTCACTGGTCCTTTCAAATAGCTTCCTAATCCTTTTCCAAATTTTCCCCTTTCCGTAGGGTCAACCTGAGTCCCATTTTCGTGCAATTGGAAATTTTGGGTTTAGGCATCCTTTTCCCCTTAGCCACAAATGTTTCATTGACAAACTCCAAGGATCTAAAAGAGCATTCAATAGCTTCTTCATCCAGTTCGACATATGGAGCAGTGGCAGAGACTGAAGCGATGATGTCTTCTTCAGCATTAAGACATATCAGCCTACCATCTATTACAAACTTTACCTTTTGGTGTAACGTAGATAGTACTGCCCCTACCTGATGAATCTAGGGTCTTCCCAACAAACAATTATAAGTGGGTATAATATCCATTACAAGGAACTCTATCTCATATGGAGCTAGACCAATAATTAAGGGAATATCGTTTTTTCCTAATACATCCTTCTTGGTTCCATCAAAAGCTCGGACAATACTGTAACTGCTTCTTATGAGTGTTCTATCAATTGGTAATTTTTTTAGACTCACTAATGGCATTACATTCAAAGCCAAGCCATTATCTACTTACACTCGAGATAAAATATGTCCTTTGCACTTAACTGTAATATACAGAAATCCAGTGCTACTATTTATTTCAGAAGGAATTTTGTTTTCGAAAAAAGAAAGGAAATTATCAGCCTGTATATTTGTAATTAGCCTATCCAATTTGTTTACAAACAATTCCTTTGATACAAAAGTTTTATTTAACACTTTTATCAAAGCATTACGATGTGCTTCAGAGCTTAATAAAAGTGCTAAAACTGATATACGAGTTGGCAATTTGTGCAACTGTTCAACAATGTTTTATTCACTATGCTTGAGAAACTTCAAAAATTCTACAACTTCCCTTTTAGTTACAGGTTCATTGATGGTAGTTTCATCCTCTTTTAACTGTAGCTCTACCTTTTTCCCTTTATCAATTGGACCTTGCTTCTCTGATTCCTTAGAATAACATCTCCCACTGGGGGTAAAATGTCCAACTTCATCTACCTCTTCATTTCCTCCAATTGTTTCCTTCATTTCCTCCCATTGTTTCCTTCATTTCCTCCCATTGTTTCCTTCATTTGACATTCACAATTCCATGTAACATGTTTTTCATCTTTTTAAGGAAACGGGGATGGTTAAGTGATAACCACCTTTGGAGCTTTCTTATCTAGTACCTGAGTTCTTGGCGTGATAATTAGATGATGATTAGAGTTATAAAACTCTTTGTATGATCCCTCAGATGCACAAATATCCATTTCTTCTTCTGATATTTTCTTGAAAACTTCCATCTCCTTTTCATCCACTATTTTTTGTACCAAAGCCCAAAAATCTGAGCATTGTTGTATAACATGTCCTTCATAACCATGATAACGACATATATTTCCACAACTTAAGTGTTTTGCTGACATATCAGATTTTAACAAACCAACTCTGATCATTTGAGTCTATACCCATAACATTTGTGATTTCACTCCACTGATATACTTTATCACCTGCTATCCTTTTTCCTCAATAACTGCATTGATCCCTGCTCCTGTATGATTTGGAAACGGATTTTGAGTCATATTTGGTTGCTCTTCATCACCAAAATTTATGATGTTCTTTGTTATCAGGCTTTGAACAATTCTTTTGAATGCGATTCAGTTTTCGATGGAATCCCCACGAGCTCTTGCATGATATTCTCATTGTAAGTTATCATTGTACCACTTAGGATATAGAGGTTGTATGGGTGATACATGATAGGGTGATATTATATGTTTTCCATATAATATCTGATATAACTCTTTGTAGGTAATCGAAATTGGGTCAAACTGAAATTTCTCTCTTTCCACCCTTGGTTCTCTTGTTTCTTGCTTGGAGAAGTTTGGTGTAGAAGATCCAATATCATGAGGTCGAGATACTGTGATATTATTGGACTCATATTTCCTTGCATCATTTACCTCACTTTCTTTCTTTTTCATATATGGCTTTTTGCTATATTCACCACTTTTAAGTTTCCCACTCTTAATCGCCATTTTAATCATCTCACCTACTGTAACTATGTCAGAAAAGCTTTTGAAATAATTCCCTATGAGGTGAGTAAAGAAAGGAGCTTTCAAAGTGTTTACAAAGAGCACATTTGTTTCTTCTTCTTCCATGGGTGGATGTACCTGTATAGCTATGTCCCTCCATCTCTGGGCATTTTGCCTAAAACTTTCATTGAATTTCTTTTACATGTTCTGCAGTACCATTCGATTAGGCCTTATATCCTTCACATGCTTATATTAGCTCTACTTAATTGGTTATACAATTGGATGACCAAACCAGTTAAGCTTTCTTGGAAACAATGGATCAATAGTTTATTATTCCCTATATAACCCATAATATTTCTGCAGAACATTGTGATATGGGTAGAAAGAGATTTCATACCATCCAATTTTTCAAAATATGGGATTTTAAACTTAGGTGGTAGTACCAAATCAGGTACCAAACTTAATTCTTTGGCTGCAATTTCATACACATTGGAGCATTCCTTTATTTCCATAACTTCCTCCATTAGTTTTTATAGTTGTTTGTTTAACGCTTTCTTTTCTTCCTGATCAAAATCTGGAACATTCTCAACTTGTTTTTGGTTTATGGAAGCACTAGGTAAATTTATGTTTGCCCTCCCTATCTGAGTAAATGCTCCGGACTGGGCTTTATCATGAGAGGTTGCATGATCCGGAGGGTATAAAGGTTCCTCAGTTACTTTAGTTTTTAGATGATCTACTCTTAGTGTAAAGCCTGGATGATATAAAGGATCTTCAGTGAAAGTACCAATAACTGGGGAATTTGTTTGATCCATGTTTGTTCTTTGTAACATACTTGCAAATTTTTCCATCATCTCATTATGGGATTTCACTAACTGTTCATGCATTTCTTCCTAAATTTTCTAGAAATTCTCTCGCATCTCAAGCTAGTTCCTTTCAATTTGAGCAACCTTATCGTCCATTGCCCTTTTTCTGGTATTATATGGATGCTTAGGGGATCCAGTATTCTTCGAAAAAGAAGAAAAAACCTTTTTAATGAATATGGATGAAAAATATATTGTCAAAATGTTCATGCTCAATATGTAAATGCAAGGTGTTGATATCAAGGTGATTTCTTTAGAACATCATTTATATTAAAGCAAAGTCTTATTACAAAGCTTTTAAAACATAGTACATCACAAATACATCTGGGAAGCTTCTCCTAACTGCTGTATGTGTTCATGTAACTCAAAGACCTTATAAGCTTCTTCAGTTCCTGGTTCTAATTCTTCATTCAAAGTGTTAGCTTCGTATGCCAAGTCCACTAAATATTGTGCCACTCACTGAACTTGCTCCAGATACTTTGCAATGAGGTCGTCTCTTTATTTGACCTTCCATTGAGCACGTTCACAATGGTATCACCATTGCAAAATTCATTCATACGGGATAATAGGGAGTTGATTCGCCCTTCTCTGAAGATCTTGGACTTTGGTTTCTAGCTCATTCACTTGCTTTCTTAGATTCTTAGTTTCCGAGTTACTTTCTTGATTTCGCAATGTAGTTTCCAACCCTTCAATCTTGCTTTTTAATCTCTAGTTTTGAGCTTGATTTTCCAATAGTCTTTGCTGTAATGCCTCCTTTTCTTTAGCAAACATCTTGATATGGTTTTTACTTTGTTTGAGCTCATCTTTACCTTTTTTAACTTTTCTTTTCAGACCTGACAACTCTTGTTTGCTTGATCATTCGGTAATCTGAGTCTTTACCACCCGTTGATAGGTTGACTGAGATCATTGAAGTCTATCCTGAGCTATTTTTCAACCTTGCTAACTTGACATGCTTTCCCTTTGTGGATATCTATCTCAATTTCTTTGTGGTAGACTTTTTCTTCCAGCTTTCGCAGTCTTTCTCCACTATTTTCTTTCGATCTCGAAATCTTGTTTTGCCAGCTCCAATGGAGATGGTATAATTCTCAAATGTTCTTTGATGGGTTGAATATTCTTGGAATTAACCACTGGAATGTTGTCGTTGATTCAGTTGATTCTCCATTGTTCGTATTCAGGTGAGAGCTTTTGACTACAAGTAAATAAATTTACTCGATGAAGCCATTTCCAGGCGTCAACAACTTTTCTGATCTTTTCCTTGTACTGATCACTCCTGAATGCAAATTCTGACTCAGATAAACCAGATGTCACAGGAATAAAATACATGGATCCATATTGTCTGGAGACCATCAAAGGTGCATATCCTACAGAACCCCATATGCCAGGTAAGGGGTCCCAATCATGCTCTCCACACTTATACGCTATGTTTGAAGAAGTATTCCATGAAGCGCACCATGATACGTCAATATCTTTAAGATTTCGAAAGATGTTCATCCATTTTTCTTCATCATAACCTCTGGGCCATTTACGAGAAAGGAAATCTTGTAGAGGTGAGAAGCCTTCTAGAAATACTTGTCCATGAGCTCTTTCTTCATGTTTAAAATGGTTCAGAATCCATACCAATAATAGGGGTGCACAACCTATAAAATGTCCCTCTCCCTCGCATCTGCAGGAATTCAAGAAACATAATGTTTCAGCTAATATGGCAGCAACTGAATCTGTATTCTTGTTCAATCTTTCAAATAGGTCTACAGTTGATATATCCACATGCCCTAGAATCTTTGGGAAAATGATTAATCCTTAAATTCCTAAAGCCATCATATCAATCTGTTTCCTTTTGTCTAGATGGCGGTAGATTACTTCTTTCAAGTCAGTCCAAGTAATGCATTCACTATCACCTTTTTTCTTGATATGTCTTGTAGCCCATTCTTCACTCATCCCGGTCAATAAGAGCACTTTCTTCTTGAAAGGAGAAGTGTTAGGTGACTTGATATATACCCTTTCCTCGTAGATTCTTGGACAGTGGATAAGAGCTCGATAGTCTTCTATAGTGGGTGTCAAATCTACCTTGCCAAAAGTGAAGCAACTGTAAGCAGGGTTCCAAAACATTGATAGAGATCTGAACAGATGTCGGTCAATAAGAATGTCCAAAAGATAAGCAATATCTCCATATAACTGATGAAATATCTACTTTTCTGATGCATCCCACTTTCCCCATATTTCTTTCAACTCGCCCAGATTATTTTGGCCAACGTTGATATGTGTATATTTGACCAAATCTGACACGTACCCAGGTGATAGACTATATCCCTAGATAAGTTGAGACTTCTCAGACCATCTTAAAATAACCGTATTGTCTTCTACTTCATATTGGACTCTTTGTTCCATATTTTCAGCTCTCTAATGAAATCCGTCATGAATCAACACCAAGATATGAAAATGTAAAATACATAAATGAAAATGAAACATAAAATTAATTAAAATAATGAAACCCTAATTTAATGCAATCTAGTTTCATGCTTTGTTTAAAACAACAAACCTAACCGCATGATTTCTAGTTCGCATGCATTTATTCAGAAAATAAAAAATAAAAAACTCAACATGCTTTTCCTTGTGTGCTAACTTTACAAAACTAATTTGGGTTAGGTTTCACCTAAACTTCATTTCTAGGTTTTATTATATGATGGGTTTTGGCTCTAGAGTAAAAAGGGTCAACGAATTATCATTTGTTGGTGTCCCCTTGGACTGCCAAGCCCTTAATCTTGGTCCATTATAGACTTTCAGATTAAGTTCAATTTGAAGGAACACACTTCCTTACGTCCATACAGAGGTGAAAACCACACAAGGAACATAAGGTGTGAGCTCAAAGAATGTCCCCCTATCCCATACAGAGGTGAAAACCACACGAGGGAATAACTTCTTATTCACTTAAACATGATAAGAGCGGGGTTTTAGCTCATGTCATGAATGCAGTGCACAATGGGTGAGGAAAAGCATAAAATAAAAATAATATACAACCTATTATTTTATTCTAATGACCCAAAATTAAATATGTACACATAAAAAACAAAAGTTAGTAAAATAATTAAAATAATTAAAAAAAATTATTAGTTACTATAAGATGAATAATTAATAAATTGGTGGTTGGACTCTCATTGTTTTTAAAAAAACTCCCCAGCGGAGTCGCCAAGCTGTCGAGACGTTTCTCTACCCTTGCAATGGAGAGTGCAAATAGTACACCCCAGACAGTGTAACTACTCTCAAAAAATTAATGCGTATTCTCCATGAATCAGATTAAACACCAAATTGTAGAGTCGCCACCAATCTTTTTATATGGTGAGATTGGTCACCAAAATGTCATATTATTTTAATACAAATTCCTAAGAATAATATTAAAATAATACAACTCAAGTCTGCTTGCCAGAGAAATGAGTTTGGGGGTCGGTTATGTATGGGAAAGAATTAGCATCCCCACAACACCCAAAATTGGTATCGGTATTTATTAATTAATTGTATTTACAGTAAATGATAAATTTATATTTAAAGCTTAATATAAATAAAAAGTCTATTATTAATTCTATTATAAAATTATATTATAATCATATTAACTATGTATGATAATAATCCTAATGTATATAAGTACTAATTAATCACATAATATATAATTATTAATTACTAATACATAAAATATTAATATTAATTAATCCTAAAATTATACACAAACTGTGTAATTTATCTTTAATTTACTAATACAAGATCAAAATATAAATTTATTAATATTTAGGGACTAAATGTGATATTTAACGTAATTATATATATATGTAATAGTGATTAAAATAAAAATTAATAAAACTTGAAAACTAAATTAAAATATGATAAACCATGCTTTTCAGTGACTAAATCAAATAATTACAAAAGTTACAAGGATCTCGAAAGGGATTTTCTCACACCCATATTTGGATCGACACTCCCTCCCCAAAACGACACCTTTCGGGGAGGGATTTATATAGATCCTAAATCGATCTAAGAGGCTTTAAGCCTCATTTTCTCAAAATGCTTTTCTCTCTTAGAGAGAGAAGCTCTCGTCCCTCTCTAGGATTCCCTCGCCGGAGGGAATCCGACAACCGTTGGCCACCGTACGCCAGCACCGAAACCCACCACCGGCCACCACTCACTGTGGACAGATTTTACAAAGTTATATCAAAATAAAGCTCTCTTTTTCCTAAACCTATATATGCCCTTATTTTCTACCAAAAATGATCCTATAACAGTAGATCTATAAAGTTTACTTTCGAAAAGGCTTCTTTGGTGACGCTGTTTGCTTCTGTTGATGGTCGAAACTTCGAGGGTAAGACTCTTTTCTCTCTATTTTTTTAGTTTGGTTGTTCTGTATTGGGTACTCTTGCTTTCGTTTGCTTGGTTCCTTGTTCTCTGTTGTTGTCTTTGTAGGTTTGACCCTATTTATAGGGCTCTTCGATGCACCCCTTTTTCCGATTAAAATAACATACCACGGTGAGTCACCGGAGCTACGGTGGTGACTCACCCTATGGGTGGTGTGTTGTGCAGTGGAGAGATTGGGTGCATTAAATGTACCCAGATCTTGTAGATCCAGCGAGGACGTGGCTACTGCTGGTTGGAGCGCTCGGCGGCGGAGGCATCATTATCTCTACGGTGGCATCGGAATAGCCCTAGGGTTACAATGAGTACCCTAGGGTTTGGATGGTCGACTATGGACTGTTGGATTGGATTCTGGATCAGACGGCTAAGATGTGTACGGCGCTGAAACCAATGTGAAACCCTAGTAGCATTATGGTTTACTTCTGGCGTGGGCTTGTTGGGCTGTTCGGTTCAAGTCTGGGCCTGGACCAAGCCTGCTGGGGCTACTTGGGTCGAATGTGGTTGTAACATGGGTTTAAGGTTGTAACCGAGCCTCCGGATTTAATGCATTTGGGTCCTGTAAGATTGTAACAAATAAGAACAATAATAATAATATAAATATAATATAATATAATAGTATTTATTATATTTATTACGTATATATATAAATATCATTCGGATGAAAACCATTGTCAACAGATCCAACAATCCAGGTTTTTTCGGGTCTAGATTTTTCCAAACTTTTTATTTGACTCTTATTACCGTAGGTCCTTTTGTCGTTCCTTTTCCTTGTTCCTCTACATCATCTAACACATTTTTCTTCATTGTGTTAGTAGGATTCAAAAAGTTTTCATATTTCTTCTTCCTTGCATTCTTGTTCTCTTAGAGTCATGCATTTCTTTGGCGTCTTAGAGCTTTTAAGTAATGTTTTCCTTTTTTTAGCGATTGAACTCCGATACGAACATTGAAAAGTGTTTTTTTAGAGAAAATAGTTTTAAAGAGTACAAGATTAGCTTTTTTGCCTCTCATTTTGTTACTTCCTTTGAGCGACTTGTGAGGTTTCTTTGTTTCCTTTTTCTTTTTTCACATCAAAATTTTCTTTGAGTGTTGTGATTTTCAAGATGTTCGAACCAATTGTTCCAAAATAAGCATTTCGAAATTCGATGGTTCGAAAGACCCACATGCCGACTATGAGTGGGAAACCAAGATGGAATTTGTATTCCACGACTGCAAGTGTTCCGAACAAGAAAAAGTCTCTATAGCTATATATGGATTCAAAAACAAGGAACTACTTTGGAGTGTACAAGTTATATGCAGAATCAATTTCTGGGATGAGCTCAAATTTAAGATGAGAGAACAGTCTGTTCCAAGTTACTACATTGAGGAAAATCGAAAAAAACTTCAAATACTACGACAAGATAAAAGATTAGTGGAGGATTATTATAAAGAGATTGAGTCTTTAATTCAACGAGCAAGGATTTGTAATGACGATTACCACTGTTACTTATTCATGAAAGGTCTCAATCTATACATTCGAGATAAACTTGTTGAATAATACTTCGAAGATCTTTATGGTACACTACAAAAGGCCCTCATAATTAAAAATGAAAACAACGAAAAAATTGTTTTAAAGACACTTACCAAGTGACACGCGTCATTTTCGCGTCAAAATAATTCATTCTTCTCAAATAATAAATAAAGGAAGTTAAACATAGTAAGAGAGAAGTAAGGGTCCATCACACAGGGACTAAGGAAACTTCCTGATGTAGATTGTTTCTTGGTCTTTGATCTAGGTGAAAAATTGCAAGTAAAATAAATGGGGATTTTGTTCTGAGTTAAAGAAAATCAAGATTTAAAGAAAAGAATTTAAAGAATATGAAAATCAGCCTCAGGCTATAGCTTTGCCTCAATTCCAATCGATCCTTGAATTGGATTTTACTCTGGTTAAATGTCAGTTTGAGTCCACATGGTTCAATCCTTGTAGCTCACTTTTCTCTATGGTGATTTATTTTCCCAAATTTATTTTAGAAATCTCAATCCTTGTTCGGATTAACTGCGACTGTCGTTGTTTTAACTCAAAACAATTTAAAAGTGCTTGAAAATGCCCGACTCGAATTATGTTTTCTCAATGGAAATCGAACTCGATCCTAATTTTCCATTATCGTGCTATCGCTAAGTGTGTTCAAGGGAATTCAAATCAATTGATTCTATAATCCCAACAGTAAACCATCACGACATCCAAGTTAAAATAGATTTTTGAAGTGAAAGTGTTTTAATTTTAAGAAAGACAATCCATCAATCTTGTTTCTAGAAAATTGAGAAAATTAACCCGAAGTGTATGAGATGCTTTTCAATTGTCACATTAGGAATTGAGTTATCGCTTCAGCCTTTGGCTTGAAAAACTTCGCTTAGTATGATAGAAATCATACTCAACATTGTTTAAGAGAAAATAACTTGAAAATAAAAGAAGAGCAAAAAAGAAAAAAGAAGACTAATATTATAAAACTAAGAGAATAAAAAGAACAAGTAACTAGAGATGTTTTGAATAATCGAGATGATTTCTAAGGCTTACCCTAAGGGGGTATTTATAGTCTCCTAAAACCCTTGAAAATTACATTTGAAATAACTCAAGATAAATCCTAAAATTATCCAAATAAAATCCAAATAATGATAATTCCAAATTTAATGTTTGAATTTGCGGTTAAGTCTTTTGCTTCCACGAAAATGCTGACTGGACCATCTACAAGATGCTGACTAGATTCCACGTTAGTGCTTTCATGCCCCCTAGGTCTTCCTTTATTCTAGAAAAATGAAAAAGGTGCAGAACTTCGTCTTTTAAGTGCAATTTCAAGAATTCAGGGTATTGCATAGAAAACAAATAGAAATGCCTGAATGAACAATAATAATGAACAATCAAAGGAGTATATAAACACAAAATATAGCATAAAACAAACAATAGTCAAATTCACCCTCACTTATCCAATGCTTGTCCTCAAGCTTTTCTCAATCAACATGCCAAAATCAAAAGTTGCCATTCTCCAATTTACATCATACTCTAATCATCCCTATGAACCAAAATCAAAGCAATTAATTGAAACAAGAAAATAGTCAAGCAGGTGGTGTAGCTAGGAAATAAGTTAAAGCAAAAAATACATTTTAATAACTCATTAATCTCATTAAAGCAAAAAATACATTTTAATAACTCATTAATCTCATGATGCAAAACTCAATACCCTTACAAAAGATTCACTCATTTAGCTCAAAGTGTTTAAGGAAAGAAACGCTCAAGCCAAAACAAGTCAAAGCATTACCATAGGCTTGTAATTAAATCCAATCTCCACTACTTAAAAATGAATATGATGCAAAAGTCAAGATGTCTTTACACAGGGTTGTAACGTGGCTAAGGTTCGGGTAGGATAAAGGTTAAAAATTGGGTCTAAATTTCAGGACAAAGAGAAGATCGTTCCAAAGTTTATTCTAAAAAAGCAAGCAAATATAAACAACAAACGTTTTCCTTTTTTCTTTCGAACTTTTTTGTTTTTTTCTTCAATTTTTTTTTCTGCTGCACTGTATTTTTTTCCTGCACAGCTCTAACCAAACTGATTTTTCTACACTAATCCAAACTGCACTATTCAAACAGTGTAATTTCTGCTTTTTTCAAACATTGTTTTCTCTTTTTTCTGCATTTTTTTCGAAGGAACAATCTTATAGTTTTCTTGAAATGGGTGACAAAGGAGGGTAAAATGAAAAACGTTACAGTTTATTAAAGTGGTAAAACAAAGAAAGGGATTAAGGCTCAAATTTGGCTATCTAAGGGAAAAATAAACAAAAGGAGATGTGATCCAATTCAGCATCATGGATATTCCACCCTTACAAGGGGAAAGACTTTCTAACTTTACACATTATATGCTTATTTAAAATATTTTAATATAGTTATTTTCATTTACATATACTATATCTATAGTTATTATGATGATAAATTAACCATTACTATGTGAGATATAAGTTATCATAATATACTATATAGTTCACATTCTTATATAATACATTATATAAGTTCATTTACTTAGTTTATTTCTTTATGTTATGAATGTAGGCACATTCGACCAACACTTGGGAGCTACATTGGAGCTAAATAGAGCATGCAACAGCTAGGATACTTACATGGGAACGATTAGGAGAGCATAAGGAGCAATTTGGTGAAAAGTTGTTTTAAGGCTGTGAGCTCATAGCTGGATTGAGCTACAAGATGACTTCATTTCAGCTGGGGAGCTGCACCATCATCATCACCACTTAGGACACTTCAAATATATCCTAAGTTAAAATTTGTGAAAACGTACCTTTTCGCGACTACTTGCCATCTCAAGAGGTACCTTTTCACAAGGAGCTGCCATAATGTTCACCATGCTACAAGTCACCTATGGCCAGCTCACCTTTAGCTCATTCACACCATAATTAGCTCAAACATGAAGGGGAACCTTTCTCAAACATCATGACCTTTCATGAATGATGCTGCCCATGAAGATGCCTTTTCATCCAAGAGCACGTTGTTGAAGAAATTACAAACAATGGAAGCTTAAATCACCAAGTGACATAATATAAAGCTCCATGCCTATTCGACCACACACATGCCATGCACATGAGAACCTTTTGGCACCAAACATGAGAAGGTACATCACCATTCGGCCATGGGGAGAAAATGGCGCCAAGATGAACAAGCATGCCCATTCGGCCAAGGGAGATGCCTTCTCATCCTTAGACGAATCATCAAGCCCCTTTATGAAGGGTTAGCCGAACCATCACAAGCCCAAATGACTTAATCTTTCATTTTAAAGCATTATGTATCTTCATAAAGTCATGTATCTAGTTGAAACATCACGTAACCATTCGGCCAAGCCCTCTCATTTCCTATAAATAGAGTGGCTTGCCATCATTTGTAATCATCTCATCTCATATATCAAAATTACTCTTGTGAGTTAATTTCTCTTCAAAGTTCTTTGTGAACTTTATCGATTAAACAAGTATAGTTCCTATACTTGTGGCGTCATTCCTTCCATTTTGATTCCAAAATTCCTAGATTGATATCTAGTGGGTTGAAGACATTATCACCACCCCTCAATCAAGTTTGTGAAGACCGGGATTGTGCTTCATAGCATGGTTTCCTCTTTGGCGTGTTTGAGATACAACATCACCACCATTGCCATTTCATCATCACCATCATCCATCTCTTCCATCAATTCCGCAACCATCTCTATCCTTTCTTTATTTCATCTCATTCTTATTA